TTGTTTATATACCAATTAAATAAAAGTATTTGTTTAAAATATAAAAAATATCAATTATTTATAAGGTGTATTGTTTGATTTCTTAATTTAAAATTTACAGGTCTAGATAATAAATCTTTGAGTATTTTAAAATAAGAGACTTCATATCTAAGTATTTTTTATTTTAATTTTGGCATTGTTTTTCAATTAAATTTTTTTAAATAATAAATAGAGTATTTAGATGAGTTAATTTATTATTAATTAAAATAAAATATTAAATGAACTTGATTATAGTAATTTAATAATTTATATTCTAAAATATCTCAAATATATTAATTTTATAAAAATATTTTAATATATTATAATTATTTAATTTTAAATTTCGTCTCAGATCTTGAGATGTGTTAGACCGGCTCTGATTATTAAAAAATATAAATCAGTTACTAGTATTTTAAAATATAACTTGGATTGAAAGTTACAAAAATTAGAAAGTATTTTGTTAAACGAAAAGTAATTTCAAGGAATAATATCAGAGAAAATGTTTTTATATACTAATTGTCTTTAACCTTAACAATCTCCAATTACTTTAGTTGTTTGGTGATAACTTGTCTAATTATAATTATATAGATTATTTAAATAGTAAGTTGATTTATGATTTTATATTAGTTGGTCTTTTATTTTAATTGTTATTGAATTAAGCTTTTTTTAAGATTTGAGCTTTTAATTTAGTATCCATTAGAAGCATATATATATATATATATATATATATATATATATATATATATATATATATATATATATATATATATATATATATATATATATATATATATATATATATATATATATATATATATATATATATATATATATATATATATATATATATATATATATATATATATATATATATATATATATATATATATATATATATATATATATATATATATATATATATATATATATATATATATATATATATATATATATATTTATATATATTTATTTATTTATATATATATATATATATATAATATCTTAAAAAAGATTTGATTTAATAATCATTACAATAAAAAATCAACTAATATAAAAATTCTAAATTAATTTAATATCTAAATAATTTATATAATCATAATTAGACACTATCATTTCGACTATTTATAAAAATCAAAGTCAATTTATTAAAGAAAATAATTATTGTGGTAGTTTGAAGGATGAGAAGTTGAATATAATGGATAAGGGTCAGATGTACGTGGTGTATATCTATAATTAGGATGAAATACGAGTGTTTTAAAAACCGGACCGGTCATCGAACCGGTGAGGGTATTGGGTCACTGGTTTATCGGTCGAACCACAGGGTCACTGGTCGAACCACATGACTAAACTGAATTAAACCGGATAACTCGATTGAATAGACTTTTATATATATATATATATATATATATATATATATATATATATATATATATATATATATATATATATATATATATATATATATATATATATATATATATATATATATATATATATATATATATATATATATATATATATATATAACTGGTCGAACCGGATGATTCAGTTTCTAAAAAAATATAACTAGTACTTAAATTTTTTGAAAATATCATATCATAAATTCACAAGTTCATAATTTAAATTCAAATTTTAAACAAATGTATCACGCATAATAAAATAATACAAAATTATAAAATCTAATTGCAAACAAAGTCTAATTGCAACAGCTTCCCCATCAATGATATCATTTATTGATTATTATGAAATAAGAGGTAACTATTTGTAAGTAAAATATGATTCTCCTAAAAAGAAAACCAAATAAAATTCAATATGTTTATGCTATTTCACTTTCCCTTTCAACAAAATACATGTCTTTTTCTATTGTTAATATTTTGACACTAAATATAATTAATTATAAATTATAATTAATTAAAAAATTATTAGCAGTGACAAAATATAAAAAGATAAAATATATAACAATCTAAAAAGTTAAAATAATAAGGTAACTAATTTGTTACTAACCACAAAGTTACAAACTATTTAGGAAAATGTATTAGCAAAAATAACAAATAGTCAATAAAGTCTGTAATTTGCCACTAACGAAAAAATTTATGTGAGAATGCTAAAAAAAAACAATTAAACCGCCGGTTTTTCCGGTTTTCCCGATTCGCACCGGTTCAATGACGAGGCCGATCCGCCAATTGAACCAGGCCAGGTAGTGTCCCAGTCCGACCGGCCGGTCCGGTCTGATTTTTAAAACACTAGGAAAGACTTTTGCATAGAAAATATGGAAATGATGGTCTGATAGGAATGATATTCATGAGATCAGTGTTTTAAAAACCGGATCGGACCGGCCGGTCGGACCAGGAACCTGCCTAGTAACCGACCTGGTTTACTAGTTCGATCGTCTTTGTCATCAACCCGGTAAAAACCGGTGGAAACCGGGTTGGACTGGGAAAAACCAGTTTTAGTGTTGGGCCGCTTCTAATGCATTTTTTATTTTTTAATTAAAATTTAAATGCAAAAATTATAAAAATTATAAAAAAAAAAAATTTCCAGGTCTTTCTCGACCACCGCCCAAGTTCGTTCTCTCCGTGCAATATACCAACGACTCGCCATTCTGGTTTCTATATCGTTTCAAATTTCCAGGTTCAATGCTCCTCTCTGTTTTCATTTAACTTTGTTCCGTTGAAATCAGGGTTCAATGCTCCTCTCTGTTTTCATTAAATTGTTGAAGATTAAATTAGGGTACAATGCTCCTCTACATGTTTGATATTAATCTTCTGATGAAATTGTTCTGTTGAATTGATTTCGTATGAACCCAGAAAGGGTTTTACATTATATGCCCATGTGTTTTCTAACAAGTCAATTCACTCTAACATTTACCATTATGACTCAAGGTAGGTGAATGAAGGAGAGAAGATTAAAACTCTGTTACTGGAAACTGGGAACGTGTTGTTGTTATTACTATTTGCGTCTATTAATTGTTTGATGAAATGTCTCTGTGAATTTTGGTATCAGAAATTGTGCTTAACTTTAAATTGTGTATGTTTAAGGATATTGGGTTGAGTTTAGCTTAATGATTCTCTGGATTGAAAACTAAATATATGAAACTGCGCAACTGCATGTAATCAAGCTTCCAACAATGGAATATTCTATGCTCGATTAAATGTCCTCTGGATTTAAATAACAAGTTACTTACATAGTATTTTTCATAATTGGATTGTCAGGATGAACTCTTAGATCTGAGGGATTCGGTTAGAGCTTGAATGGTGAGTATGAAACTAACTCAGTTAGTTGAAGTTTGTTGAGTTCAGTTGGACTTGGAATTTCTGTTAATAAACTGTTATAGTTTGAAGTTAGCACTGTTGTTCAAATTTGGACTTGGTTATATGAATAAATTGTAAGGTTATAGTGAATGAAGTTAGTTTGAATTAAGTTAGCATTGTTATCAAAATGGCTTAATATGGAAATTAATTATGTAATGAAAACAATTAGTTGAATTGAAGTGTCAGGGTGAGTCATGTTGTATTGAATCAAATTAGCACTGTCACGAAACTGAAATTAGTAGGTTTGTTATCTCTTGCATTGCTTATTGAGCCACCATGATGCTTATTGGAGTGTTATGAGACATATGAACTACCTGTTATATTACTGTTAGGAGTTTATTTGAACATGAGTTTAGTGACAATTGTTGTGGAGAATTACCTTGAAGCAAACAGTTAGAGAATTAAGTTATGTTTCCATTTAATTATTGTTGTGTTAATGTGTTAGGATGACATTGCTATGACCTCTGAATTGCTAGCATGCTATGAATGAATTTTGTTATGGAAGTTTGTGTTAGTCATGGAACCCAAACTGCTATGGGTGTGTATGTTTGGAATTCTGTTATGCAGAAAACCTGTATATGGATTTTCTAGGTATGATAAATGGATGCATTGTCATGTGTGAATATGTTTAAAACATTGTTATATTATAGGCCTAGAGTGTATTTTAATGTTGTGCATTTTACATTTCACTTTGTTCTACATGCTGCAATAAGTAATGATTCTAAGTAAAGATTCTAATTGCTTTTATGTAAAAAATATATTCTGTTTTTCTCAGTAGTTCTATGATAAGATGTTTAATGCTAATAAAATCTTGAACTGTTTTGATGCTAATAAGATGTTTTGATGGAAAATCTTGAACTGTTTTGATGGAAAATCTTGAACTGTTTAATGCTAATACGTGAGACTAAAATGTATTTTAATGTAGCAATTTTGAACTGTTTTACAGGAAAATGACATCTTCTGAAACACCATCATCACAACCACCATCACAAGAAGCTTCCTCAACTCCTAATTTAGTTCAACATAATGTTAGACAAAAGACTGATATAGCTTGGGCACATTGTACTAAAAGTCCTGATGGAAAAAATCTTGTTTGTATCTACTGTCACAAAGCATTTGGTGGAGGTGGAATTCATAGAGTAAAGCAACACTTGGCTGGAGTAGTAGAAAATGTTGAAATTTGTAAGTCAGTTCCTACAAAAATTCGTTTTCAGATGAATCAATATCTTAATTAGCGGAGCAAGAAAAGAAAAACTCCAGATGTGGCTGAACGTGAGTCATTTTCTGCAGAGGGGGGTGAATTGCAAATGCAAATGCACCCACGAATTGGTGCATCTAAAAAGAATGATGCTCGCATTGGTACTCATTTTTTTATCCAGAACAACTCCGAGAGCTCAACCTACTTTAAAAAGTGTGATGCAAAGTAAAAAAGTGGTAGAAAAGTGTGATCTTGTTATTGCGAAGTGGTTTATTGATGCGCCTATTCCTTTCAATGTTGCAAATTCGCCTTATTTTCAACCAGCAGTTGATGCTCTTTATTGCATGGGTGTTGGATACAAAGTTCCTACTATGCATGCTCTTCGTGGTAATTTGTTAAATAAGTGGGTTGATGATGTGAAGATACAGCTAGAGCAATATCGTTCTATTTGAAAGGATATAGGTTGTACTCTTATGGCAGATGGGTGGACTGATCGTTGTAGAAGAACTCTTATCAACTTTTTAGTTTATTGCCCCAAAGGAACTGTTTTCATAAAGTCTGTTGATGCCTCTGGTGCTTCTAAAACTGCAGACACATTGTTTAAGCTTTTCAAGGAAGTAGTGTTGTATGTTGGCCCAGAAAACGTTGTTCAAATCGCTACAGATAATGCTGCAAATTATATTGTTGCTGGAAAGTTGTTGGAAAAGGAGTTTCCTAAGTTGTATTGGTCTCCTTGTGCAACACACTGTATTAATTTGATGCTACAAGACATGGGGAAATTAGAGGAAGTAAGTGGGGGCAGTGTCACATGCTTCAAAAATTACCAAATACATATATAATCATTGTTTTGCATTATATTTGATGAGACAAAATACAAGTGGAAGAGAAATACTTCGTCCTGCTCCAACCCGCTTTGCTACTAATTTTATTGCATTGCAAAGTATTTTGTCTCATAAAGATGCACTAAGAGCCATGGTAACTTCCAAAGAGTGGACAACTACAACTTATTCCAAAGATGTCAAGGCAAAGCAATTTGTGGAACAAGTATTAGACTCAAGCTTTTGGTTTACATGTGTTGACATGGTGAAAGTTACAGAACCTCTTGTACGTGTGTTGCGTATTGTTGATAGTGAAGATAAACCGGCTATGGGATATCTCTATCGAGCTATGTATAAAGCAAGAGAGGAGATTGAGAAGAGTTTTAGAAGAAATAAGCTGAAAGTAGAGCCTTATTTGAGGATCTTAGATAACTGTTGGGATGCACAACTTCACAAAAATCTTCATGCTGTTGGTTATTAGTTAAATCCATCTTGTAGATTCAGTCAAGAATATGAAAAACACAAGTTTACTACCCAAGGTCTTTTGGATGTCATTGAAAAGTATGCTTATGATAGTAAGGACTTGCGAACTAAATTAACTGTTGAGATGAGTTTATTTAAAAATTGTGAAGGTGGTTTTGGAAGGACAACGGCCGTAGAAAATCGAGATGAAGTTTTGCCAGGTAAAGTTAGATGATAAACTTTATGCATTTTATTATAATTTCAATATGAATTTTAAAATGTGTTCTAATTTTTTCACATGCACTATTCTAGATCAATGGTGGGAAGCTTATGGAACCGAAGCGCCCAATTTGCAAAAGTTGGCTATTCAGATTTTAAGCCAAACTTGTAGTGCATCTGGTTGTGAACGAAATTAGAGTATATTTGAGCACATTCATTCAAAAAAAAAGAAATAGGTTGGAGCATCAAAAGCTTAATGATCTTGTCTTTGTTCGTTACAACCTACGACTACAAAACAGATATTGCACTTATTATGCTTTATATGTTATTGCTTATATACTTATGTTGTTTATGACTATGAATGATGAAAATTGGAAACAACTATATGTTGTTTGCTTATGATATTGTTTATACTACTAGCTATTGCTTGATATGTAGAAACTTGTTAATTTGTTTTTCTATCTCAAAAAATAGTACTGAGATTGATTTGGAAACATTTAATTAGGAATTTGAGCATATGCTTTGGTTGTTGCTATTGCTTAATATGTTGCATTTTAGTACAATGTTAATATATATTTTATATTATTAATTTTTAAGCTAGTTAAGTTAGTTATATACTACTAGTTTTTAAGAATATTAATGAGTTTTATGTTTGACATTATCGTTAATGATTTATAGAAACAAGAAGAAACAAAATTATGATCCTATCAATTTTGAAATACTTGGTGATCATTCTGATTGGGTGTTGGAGGATTCACCACCATTCTTAACCATTGAGGAGGTGGAAGCACTACGCAAAGATCTTGCTAGTATGACAATTCAACCTATGTCAAATGATATTGGTATGATATTAGTTATTCTGATAACAATTTTGTTACTTTAATTTATTACTATATGTTAATTGCTTAACTCTCTAATTTATTTGTTGTTACAGATCAATTAAATTTGGATGAGGTTGATGTCGAGGATGATGAACAACTTAATTCTGGAGAAAACAACCAAAATAATAATATCATTGATGGGGGAAATGTTGCAAATGCGATTGATTTTACTGCAGATGGTTTTGATATTGAAGAAGGAGATCCCAATATTGAAATAATTTTACCTCCTTGGAACTAAACTTAAGTAGACATTGGAGTTATTTTGTTTTAAATTATTCAATTATATTATGTTGCAATTAGATTTTGTAATTTTGTATTATTTTGTTATGTGTGATACATTTGTTTAAAATTTGAATTTAAATTATGAACTTGTGAATTTATGATATGATATTTTTAAAAAATTTAAGTACTAGTTATATTTTTTTAGAAACTGAATCATCCGGTTCGACCGATTTTATATCTAAATAATGACAGGTCTATTCAACCGAGTTATCCGGTTTAATCCGATTTAGTCATGCGGTTCGACCAGTGACCCAGTGGTTCGACCGATAACCAGTGACTCAATACCCTCACCGGTTCGATGACCGGTACGGTTTTTAAAACACTGCATGAGATAGAGATTAAAAGACGATTGGAATGAATATGTTATTAGAGAGGATTGAATACAAAAATGGAAACACCAATGTTAAAATGCTAAATTGTTAAACCAATAAGAAAAAACAGAACATGTTAAGAAAAATGGAGACAAAAAGTTAACTAATAAAAATAAAGACATTTATTGATTATGTGTAAATTATTAACCATTAATAATATTGAATATGTTTTAAAATGATAAAAAATATTTAAATGAAAATTAATTTTTTAATTTAGAAATAATCAACACTTATGAAATATTACAGTAAATTTGAATTCGGAAATATGCAACTTGCAGAATATGAAATAGTACAACTTTAAAAACTACTGTTGTATACAAAACAGTGCAATATTTAGTAAAAGTGTTGTTGTAGACGATACAGTGCAACGTTTTAAAATTATTGTTGTAGGAGAAATAATACAACAATTAGCAAAAGTTTTGTTGAAAATGTGTGTTTCATCAAGCGTCGCAACCTTATTAAACAACATCAGTTTAACCTATAAATTGAGCATTTCAGATTCAGAAAAACATATTAGAAAAGCTTATCTCCTTCGCACAAAATCCCTGATTTCATCTTTCCTACATTTGAGTTTCATCAGTCTTGTGCAAACTCGAGTATAGACTGAATTATCCTGTGTATTCCAGCGTTTTATCTTTAAGACATTTGAGAGTGTTTGAAATACTTATAAGGAAAGTGATTTCCTTCCCAATTCTAGCATCGATCCATTCAATCTTAACGGTTTATCTAACAATCTTATAATCAATTAATATAATGACAACCTAGACTTATGTTTTAAGCATTAAAATGATGAACCAACACAAGATCTTCTTCCGCCTAATTATCATGGAGATCTTTTATTTATGATTAATATTAAAGGTTGCTACTTTAAAAAATTTTATAGCAACACTCTATGATTGTGAAAGGTAATTCATATAATATTTTAAATTTTATAAAATTTTAATTTATGATTTTTTGTGATTAATTTGTTGATGCAATTTTGATGGAGAAATAAACATTCATTTTTATTTATTTATAATCATGGTAAGAGGTACATATTTAGCATGTGATATTAGATTACTCTTTCATGCAAATAATTTTTGTTGATTATTAGTTATTTTCTATGCAAGTTGATGTTGATATTAAATATATTAAAATGTTGTTAATATGTTTAATGCATTAAAAAAGGAATAAATATAAGTGGATGATAAATAAATCAAATATTCATATGAAATCAATTTGCATATACCATTAAAATAAATTAATCATTGAGTTTAATTGTTATTTTGATATTTATTTGTATTTTCTTTTATAAGAAAATTATATTGACTTATAATTTGTACCTAACATGTCATAAGATGAATAATGCATTTATTTATGGATAAAATGATTATAAAAAAATACATATTATGAATGTGAATTTATGATTCATGTATTAAAAATATAAAATAGTATAGAAATTAATAATAATTTGAAGGACATATTTCAATTGTATTATTGTTTGTGCAATAACTTATTAAATTTAAAATTATTCATCTCATATTAGTGTGCATGTTAATATAAAAAAGTTATTTCTTGATCATCTTGATATTAAAAATAATTTGTATATTTTCTTTATTATTTAAAGTTGATAAATATTTATGAAAAAAATATAGAAAATATGAATGATTTTGGATTATTGTTTATTTTATAATGTGAAGTTAAGACATATAATATAGAATATTGTTAAACATGAAGTTAAGAAATATAATTCATTATTCATATGTTAGTTATGCAATAAAATATTTATTTTAATAGAATATAAATAAATGAGTGTGTTAATATGGTATATATGACTTTTATGTTTTAAACCTCTTTATAAAATAAAAGTAATGATCATGGTTATCGATTGCTAAAAACATTTAATGCATTGAATATATTTTAGATATATTTAAGTAGAAGTATAACTTCAAAGTAAAATGATTACTATTAAATATTTTATTGACAATGGAAGAGTGACATAAAATTTATTGTGTCACAAAGTTCTTATGTCATATAATGAATATAATTCTTTTGAAGAAAAACTGATATTTCTCCCTATGAGGTATGGAAAGGTAGAGTGCAAAATATCAGTTATTTTAGAGTATGTGTGTGTGTGTGTGTAGCTTATCATAAGAACATGGACCGTAAAAGAAACAAGTTGGGTCATCGTGGGATCAAATATGTTTTTTAGGCTATACACCTAACATTAAAACATATAGACTTTTGAGTTTGGAGTCTAATGTAATTATTGAAAATAGATGTGGAATTTTGACAACCTTATCACGGAGGATAAGGAATTCAATATTCTCACAAATTAAGAACCTCGTGAAGAAGGTTCTCCATGGATTGTTGATTATTTTGACACATATGCACTAGTAGCAAGCACAAAAAAATTAGAGTTTCGTTTGTATTAACTTTCTTGCATAACCTTATAGTTCATAAAATGGATGTCAAAACAATATTCCTAAATAGACATCTCAATGAGAAGATTTACATGGAGCAATCAGAAGGTTATGTGTTTCTTTGTAATGAAAAAAAGTGTGCAAGTTTCTCAAATCCTTGCATGGATTAAAACAAGCACTGAAACACTGATATCAAAAGTTTGACTCTGTCATTGTAAGATTCACCAATTGATGGGAGACACGCAACTTAAGGTAGACTTTTCAATCATTATCAAAACACGAATTCAAAGAATTTATCATCATCATAAGGGGGAGATTGTGAGGAATACATCTTATATATAGTTCAATTTTGATGAAGATAAAGATTATCAAAAAAGAAAAAAGTTCAAAAGTGTCATGCATATCAATGATGAAGTTGATCATGAAGGTTTAGCATATAAATTCAAGTGAAAATTTGAGACAAGTGAACATAAATAAGGTGCTCATTACAATTTATAATATACTACTTTAAATTGCTCATAATTTCATCTCTCACTTTATCTAAATGTCTTCTTGCATCATCATGCATTTTTATCTAAAAATCTTCTTCATCTAATTTTTGTTGCAAGTGTTTGTACACAAAGTTGTGTGAGAATATTGTGCTATTCATTTGTTTCCATGTTGATTATATGATTGATCATGAGAAACGAGATGAATGAAATTTTAGAAACCAAGAGGTTTCTAACTTCCACTTTCAAGATGAATAATCTTGGACTAGTTGACACACTTTTGAGGATCAAAGTAAAGATAAATAGTGGGGGTTATGAACTTATTCAAACATATTATGTTGAGAAAGTGCTTGATAAGTTCAAACACTTACGCTTTAAAGAAGTGACCATTCCATTTTATCCTAGTGTCAAACTTCAAAAGAATGACGGAAGAGTTGTGGCTCAATTGGAATATCCAAGTGCATGCAATGTACTAGACCGGACATAGCATTTGTAATTAGTAAAATGAGTAGATTTTACTAGCAATCGAAATGGTGAACACTGGAAGGTCATTATTAGGAATTACGGCTATCTTATGAAAAATTAAAAAAAATCTCGGTCTCCATTATGGTAGATTTCTTACCATATTAGAAGGATATACCGATGTGAATTGGATATCGAGTGTTGAATATCATAAATTGCCATTTAGGTGGATATTTACACTAACTGGGGTGCAATTTATTGGAAGATCAAGAAACAAATATGGATCACTCAATCATAGAATCAGAGTTCGAGGCTCTTACTTCCGCTGGTAAAGAAGTTGAATGATGGAGGGACCTTCTGTTAGAAGTTCACTAACTAAAGACAATGTTTCAAAGGTGTTAATACATTACGGTAGTCAATAGGCATGGCAACGTGGCGGATTGAATGCAGATTTAACCAGCCTCACACTTACACCCATCTCCTTGTATGAGACACACCTCCACCTCTAAACCCAGTCGGGGGTAAAAAATTATCACTCAGACCTACCCCTAATAAGGGACGAGTTTCCCCGTCCCCGCCCCGCCCCCACCTATAAAAACTATATTTCTTTTAAATACAAAACTTTTTCATAACAATAAAAATTTAATAATTTAATTAAATACTTAATTATTTTAATAATAAATGTATTTCTTAAGAGTAAAATAAATCTAATAAACATGTTTTTAAAAAGTAAAATAACTCTAATAAACCTATTTTTAAAGATTAAAATAACTCTAATAAATGTATAATAAAATAATTAAAATAAGACATTAAAGTAAATTATAGTAGAACGGGGTGGGGCAGGGTCGAGTGTGGGGCGGGTAGTAGCATCTCCCTCCCCAGCCCTCGCACCCGTAATAGAAAAACCGTGTTTTCCCTACACCCAGTTAAACTTAGTTTTCTCCGTTAATTTCGGGGCGAGTCCGGGTTTTTTTGTCATGCCTAGTATTCAAGCCAATTTTCCTAGAGCATATAAAAAGTGTATAATAGAAAGTCTAGGCAAGTAGGACTTAGACATTCTTTCATGAGAAAATTGATTAAGGATGTAATCATTTCATATATGATCGAGTTATAATTTTCTTTATCCATTTACTAAACCATTGGCCAGAGACTTAGTAAAGACAACCTTGAGAGGTATGAGGTTGAAACTGTTGGTGTAAGCCCTAGAGGCCAATACTTTTTGGTACTTGTATC